GTTTTTTCAACTCAATATGCTTGATTTGCACATCAGTATCTTAATTAGAACAATGTTACTCTGGCAAAGGAGATCCCTCATTTGTCACCAATTAAACACGTGCTATGCAGCCCCTCCCCCCCCCCCCCCATGTTGTGGCGGATTTGTATTTTACCATAACTTGAAGCATTTGTCTTTCAGTGTAATAACAGAACATTCGCGGCAGTAAATGTTTAACACTGATTCTGATTGTTGTTTGTTGGTCACAAGAAATTGCAAGTTCAATCACTTTACCTGCCGCCTGATTTTTCACGACTCACTCGTGGTGAACACTTCCAAGGAGACTCTATACTGTTTGTTCGTTATTCATAGAAGGTCATACGGGTTGTCAGAGTCTAATTTTAGGCATTTGTTGTACATACAATATATCATATTTGTAACTTTGTTACGGTTTGTGTGTGTGTGTGTGAAAGAGAGAGCCTACATGTGCTTATACTATTTATATATATTAGTTGAGACATAAGAATCTGCCAGCCCCTGCTGCCAGCAGATGTCCGAGGCTACTTTCCCAGGATTGGTAACAGCTGTGATATACCACTGTAACTAAGACTTATAGACTAATTGTCTTTTGTGGGGACTTGTGGGTTCTTACCTGATCGACAACAATAAGTGTGCGACAACGAATTTAAGATACACATGTGAAAGGAAAGAGCGTGAGAAAGAGTAAGAGAGCTTTAAGATACTTAAGAAGTAAGAAATGTTTTTTAAGTTTCCAAGAGAAGAGACTGTTATAGGATTGTGTGTTGTTGGCTTAGAAGACATACGGTTTTTCAACCTGTCCAGCCATTGCCTAGCCACTGTCAAGTGATGTGAAGTTACATTTATTCTTTCATTGTGTGGATTGTATTTAGAAGAAGTGTCATAAGAAAGCTTGCAATTTGAGATCGAAGGGCATTTTGAAACCACTGGATCGAGATTTATACTTTTAAATCCTCTCCCCCCAACAGTTGGAGATTATAAGAACTCACACTGGTCATTTACAATGTCATAGAGCTTGAGTAATTACCAGAATGGCCCCATATGCCTGAGAATAACTTGTTGAAGGTTGATTTGCTTTTCAGTTTTTCCTTCAGTCTGTTTATCATTTCCAGTTTTGTCCCTTTGGCGTCTACTTCCATCTTTGTACACCAATGCCGTACCTCAGGAACCTGCAGGATTCAGTATAGAAACTATGAAAACCATGAGTGACCAAGCTTTCCACTTCAGTTGTGGCGCCTTAATACGCGGATACACTTCAAAGCGACACTGATATAATTTCTTTTACCAAGGATATGTAATACTTGAGCATCTAGGCAATACACTTACAAAGATACATACTTGCTTAATGCTGTACAGATTCAAGAGCCCATTATCTCATTTGTGGATTTAGTTCCTCTACAGATTAAATCAAAGGAATTCAACCCATTTTGTAACGGAATAGTGTCAGCTATCCCGGAAACATCTGTGTTCGCCTTTAAACCGGATTGTTGTAGGATTTGAAAGAGCTTGTTTATAATACGTCACGCCCAGCCACACTACGCCATACCATACCACAGTTTGCACAATTCACTGAGTCTGTCTAACTGATAATAGTGTAATGTCATATATGTCACATGTACCTTCTTTTCACACAGCATTTGCATCAGGACATCTTCCGTTAGGTCCCTATCCCCTGCATCAAAGTCTCCATCCTGAAGATGCTTTGTCAGTGATCTTAATTTTTCAGCTTCAGTGTTGAATGCCTTTGCATCTTTCCTCGCTAAGCCAACGAAAGGAGCCCAGTTGTCGTATGAAGGTGAAACACGCCCATCGTTGGCCGCTTCTAATACCATTTAAAAACATTCTAAAGTATATTAACAAACATACATCAGACATTACAAACATACATCAGAAAATGAGATTTTACTGAGTGAGAACAAGTGTTTGCTGAAGTGTTCTGACATCATCTCGGGATAAATTTGTCTTTTTTCTTTGAAAATTGCTCTTTGCAATTCTAGTGACCTTGTCCAGGCCTACCAAAGAAAACTTTCACACTTTGCAGAAAAACGCACAAAAGCCCACATTAATCATAATTAATACTTAATATATCGCTACTGAAACAGTAAAAATGGCAACGAAAGGCTATGAAACTGCAACATTTTTGTATCAGCAACAGGTACTTTAGAAGAAGACCTTTACTAAGCTCGACCTGATACTTAAAGGCACACTATCACGCCACACTTCTCTAAAAATCAAGATTGCATTTCTTTCATAATACGAACTATCAGTCCCCAGTGAAGCTACCATATAATATATTCTGAAAGGATTTACATATTAAGATTACAATATGAAATTAAAAAGTTCGAATTAATTAATGCAAAGTTGCATTAAATCGACTCTCGCGCCCTCTGCCGAATAAAATATATTTTCAAACGAACCCCTTAGAGTTATGTTCCTTGGAATGCTCTTTATGAATATCCTATAATGAAAACCTTGTGATACAACAATGCGTGTGACAGGTTTTGATGTATGGAGCTTTGGTATCATTCCATAGGGAGCAGGACAAAAGCCACCCGGACAAAAGCCACCTGGACAAATGCCACCTAGGACGAAAGCCACACAGTTATTTTACCATCACAGAGAGGACAATCACCACCCTTACTGACTTTAATGTTGATTTTGTTGTAAAATTATGTAGACTTTGATGAATAATTTGGTTTCTTAAATTCGCAGACCAAGCTGTCAAACTTGGACTACTCTCATAAATAGCAAAATAAAAATATCTTACTCCAAAACAGACCTAACAAATAAAGTTAACACGATAATAATAAATAAATTCAATTATAACTGGCCAATAATATGAAAACATTATCCACTCTAACAAATTCAACAAACACTAAATACAAAATGTAAAAAATTATCACCAAACACGCCGAATTGATGTTGCCATAACCAGATTTAGACTAGCAAATTGCAATCTTAATCACTAACTAAACAAAATCAACATTCATCCAACCGACAAATGTATCACTTGCCAAATTCCTGAACCAATAGCCCTCACTATCTTTTACTGTTCAAAATATAATAAACAAAGAACCCCATTTACCAATGCTTTAAAACAGGAACTCAACAATGCTAACTCTTCTGATCTCAAGCACATTCTAACAAATCCCAAATAAATTCAAAAGAATTCTCTCTTTTTGTCAACTTCATTTTTTAACCTTATAATGTTTATCATTATTCACATTATAAATATGCTTTTAAACATTGGTTGGTTGAAAACATACAATAATAATAACAATAACCATTCACTACACTACATCTATATTAAATTCCAAATCTCTATTACTCTTTACCTATTTCATATTTTTTTACCTTTTTAATTCTGCCTCCCATTCAAATTACCCTTAATACTCAGTTGGTTTTTTTGTTGTTGTCTTTTGGGTAGTAACACCACTCTTTTAAAATTTATATTTTTGTTCCCCCTCATTTCTTAATCAGTGTACTATCCTTTCGCCGAAATATTTTAGTTATGCGTGCGATGTTAAATAAAGCAAATAACTAACAAACTGACCATTTCACTTCCAATATGCGCAACCAAATTGAATATGTTTCATCGCAGAAAGGAGTATGAAAGCAATATTAATAAAAATGTGAATGAAAAATGAAAAAAGATGAAAATGAAAGCAATAATGAAAGTGTAAATGAAAATGAATTATCATGCAAATACATCTGGGAAACATGATATTGTGTTGGTGGTTTCTATTTTTATTTGGGTGGCATTTGTCCTAGGTGGCATTTGTCCTAGGTGGCATTTGTCCGGGTGGCATTTGTCCAAGACCCCATTCCATATATGTATCATTCGTAACTACTCGCCTCTTTCCGTGACCTACAAGAAGACTCGCCCCTATCTCGATGCTTGCTATGTGCAAAAATACAACAAACCAATCAGAACGCGCGTAATGAGTGCGGTGCTTTGGTAAAACTAATCCCGAGTACTTAAATCGTTTATGGCATTATGTCATTGTTTAAAAAATCATGAAAAATATATATCATCATACTGAAAGTACAAAGAACGTAGCTAACAGTATTTTGCTGCCTATTATGAAGTTTCAAATAAGAATCATGCCATTAACGGTGAGAGATTCAAATACATGCGTCTGCGTTTGTTGACATAATAACTCTCATGGGTCCAACTGTGTGTATTTCTGTCGATCTTGCGGTCTTGTTATGGAGATTGTACTTGGGCTTCTAACAGTTTCAGGAAATGTAATTATAAATTGCTACGAGATTTAAAAACAATAATATTATATTTGTATGTAACTAATCAACTTTAATCTTTAACACTGGGCTTATATTTCACATCTCTGTGGATATTTTAGTCTGACTTTTGTTTAGTCATTCATATTTTTTTCAGAGAATTCTTTTAAATTTCCACCAGGGATGTGACAGCAAGGTTACACGAATGTTCAGTTTGAGAAATATTTTGTCATATTTTAGTATCTGCTTTGAGATTTAATGTAGCTGAAAAAAGAATATTTTTATTTGTATATTCAATTAAACAATTCCCATTTGTGATTATTCAACCCTATTTAGAAAATTAATAGAACTGGAAATATAAGGTGATCAGCTGGTAATAATAACATTAGAATATCTTTAACAAATATATTTTTCTCCTTCTTTAATAAGTAAAACCAAAAAACAGCAATACCATGTACGAGTGCTTTGGTGATATGAGGAAACATTGGAATCAAACAGGGATAGAGTTATGGTACTTGTTTAAAGTAGTTCTGATGTTCATGCGCCAAGATGAAATCCTTCCAGATTGGCACGATTCGGTTTTTCCCTTGGTCACGTATCTTTTGGAAACTGCTCGCCTCGAGGTTTCAATTATCGATTTCAGGCAAGTTGTAAAGGATAATAAGTCTTTTATTGCATCAATAGGAAGCTAAAGTGAGTGCATATGCCCCAATATATATATTATAGACAAAAATATTGTCGAAAAGTGTGACATTGTGCCTTTAATACAAGACAAACACTCAAGAAATCCTGGTTTTCTTTGACATACCCTGGAATACACTGCATACTATGTGTAAAAACGCGGTCAACTGTGTCACGAACATTATTGCTTCACCATCAATATCTGAATGTCCATCACATTCGTCCCAGTATGGCCAATCTTGATGTGACTAGACCCATTTCGGACTAAACGAAACAGATTATAGGAATCATTATTCTGCAAGAACTCATCAAGCGATATTCCCTCATCGGCCAGGATTTGCGTAAAGTCCATTTCAACCACAGCCCCTGCAGCATCTGTGGGTCCATCAAGTCCATCAGTGCCTGCACTCAGGAAGCAGATCTGACTATATGTCTTGAACACAGAGTCTCCTTTCAAGGCGGCAAGATAAGGAGCAATAGCCAGCGCCATCTCCTGGTTCCTTCCTCCACGACCACTTCCCTTCACAAGCGTAGTTGTCTCCCCTCCTGCTACAATACAAACCCCTTTCTGCATGTTCTTGCCTTTCTCCACCACAGTGACAACCTCATTTAGTTTGTCCTTGCTGATTCCAGTTCGAACCAGGTCAACTTCCAGCGTGGCCAACACAGGGTTATACTCTTTAGAGTTCCTTCTGAATATCAACAGGATATATTTTGCCAGATTCCCAAACATGGCTGCAATTTCTCTCGTGTCTCCACTCAAACATGTTGACAAAACTAAGGGGAGATAACCCAGATTTCTAGCTGTGGTGCATGCAGTTGAAGTGGCTATTGTGTTGTTTCCAACAATGTGGTTTTGAACTCTGGCCAAATGTTCAAAATCAGGGCTATCAACAGTTATGGAATCTTTTTTGATTTTCTTTTGTTGTTCCAAGTATTCTAAGACTGACTTGGGAATCTGGTCTGTAATTCCAAATTTTTTGAAAAGATGCATGCACTGACTGGCATCAGTGGCACTGAAGAATGTGGGACCACTGGCAATGAAGTCAAGGGGGTCTCCTATCACATCAGACAGGATGAGAGATATCACCTGCAACAGCCACGGCTATTAATGTACCTACACCATTATGCTACAGTATAGATAAATATACATGGAAAAAATTTGTTTGAAATTAATTCAGGAAATATCAAGGATTCACTTCAAAAATCACACATAACATTTACTGAAAATGTCAATAAGAACTAACACTAAAAAGGGTCTATAGTTCACCTACATCCTTCTGGAATAATATATATTAGAAAAATCATACGATTAATGAAGCGAAGGATTATACAGAATCCTCTACTAGAAGTACTCTAATAGAGAGAGACATCCTCACAACATTTTCATTAAATTACAAAATGACAATTTATAACTGACTTTGCAGATGCAAAAAATCCAATGTACTTCATGATTGGTAGTTAAAGCAATTATAATAGGTCAAATGTATTAACCAGTGGAGAAGTATGTTCATGACTCACTGAGGCTGGTCTGGCTTCCAGAGCAAGTCCTCCTCCTTTGAGAACCTCGATGTTGGAGCGGACAAGGTTGAGCTCCTGAATGGTGGCCCCCTTGCTGGCCAGTAGGCGGGTCAGCTCCATCTCTTCCCCCAGGGATATAGGGGGACATGGAGTTGGCAGCAGGGCTGATCCACCACCTGGGGGAAGGTTGGGGCTGTACTGTATCATGTTCAGGGCAAAGGGAACTACTGGGCTATACATATTCCCTTAAAACCAAAGCCTCAAAATGTAAACTAAACTACAAATATCTAACGACTAGGGCTGGGACGATTCACCAATACACCGATACATCACGATACATTTATGTTTGATACAGCTATCGTATCGTTGACAGGTGTATCGATACAAAACGATACACGACTTTTTTTTCAAACAGTATTATTTTAAACATGTTAAAGTACCTATTTAGAGAAAAATATGCAAGTATGATAGAGTTACTTGTTAGTTTACTACAATAGTGTTATTGTTACACACAAATACCTTGAAATAAATCATTTTAAATCTTAATACTGTGTCGTTCTTTCAAGGTGTATGTATCGTGATATGTATCGTATCGCAAGTAAAATATCGCGATGCATATCGTATTGTGACATAGTGTATCGTCCCAGCCCTACTAACGACTGACTTTCCAATCTAACTTCCAACTATCATTGATGTCCAAAACCGATTGATCTCTAACACCAGATTCTGGGAGCATGTGTCGTTCACTCATAGGCAATTCTCGTGTGGTCAGTGTTATGGAAATTTAACTCTGTGAAGTAACTGTGTTTCAATGAATGTTTTAAATTCCATAAACACTAACTGAATGAGATGCGTTTGAGCGAACTCTCTCTCGATCTATCCCAATCTATCTATCCATTATTCTGCTGGGATACTTTTTTTATACTTAAACAATAGCAATCAGGGGCCTCTCTAAATAATACCATCTGATAAGCTTCGACTGTTCTTATAAGTCATAGCTCTGTCCGTTAAAGTGAAGAATTGAATGAATATACCTTGTAAAATCAAAATCTCATCATAGATCATAAAAATCATAGATCATGAGGTCCCTACAGACAGCAGCACAGTCTCTCGTCATACTGAGGTGACCTTGCCAGCTAGTGTGGGCAGTGTCAAACATTGTGTTAGGGGCCAGAGCCATGTGCTCCTTCAGGTCAACAATGAAAAATAGCAAACTGACACAAACCGAATAATTTCAGTGATTGAGAGGCTACACTGATAGGGAACTTGGTTACAGTGAGTGTGGAGTTGTTTGTGATTTTTGCGACGGAAACTTTGCGATATGTGACAGAGTCTTTGTGATTTAGGAAGGGTAAGGTACAATAAATGGCCTGTATACCTACAAAATCAATATTACAAGTGATTCGAATTCACGTTTACTTACATTGGGTTTCCATCAGTAATTAGTAAATATATATGTTGTTCAGAAAACTACTGATAATCTTGTAAAACCATTAATTGTCACCAAATTAATACTTTTTGATAAATAATCAGTATATTGTGACAAATGACCCCATAATGAAGTGTAAAATAATAAAAACTGTTCCCGATTAGGGTTTATCCCCTATCATCATAAAGCATGGGCTGTTTTATCAGTGAAAAAACCTGTATATATCAATTTCCATGAATTGATCGAATGTCACAGAAACTTTGTGATTACGAAATTGATGTAACGGAAAATTCATTCATTGTCACTGATAATTCCCAATCACAAAATGGAGTTGATGGGGTATGATTCGTCCAATTTGGGCAATGTATCGGATTTGGATGTGTCTTTGAACATATCTGAAACATTACTGCCATTGAAACCGCCATTGAAACATTACAATGGCCCGCAAGGAGCCCCATTAAACATTTATGGAACTGAGTTAGTGATCCTCCTGTTCAAAATCTGCAGGAACTGACGCAGTCATTCTTATATGAGGAATGGCAGATCATTCATTTTGTAGGTATGTATACAGGCCATATATTGTACCTTACCCTTCCCCTGCTGATGCTAAAATCAAAAACACAGTGAGTAGTATATACAATGATAGTCCTGGACCAAGTCCAACAAAAGCCTCTGCAAAGCCTTATTTCCCAAATAAGGCTTTTGTCGGGCCCTTAGATCTTGGTACCATTGCATCTACTACTTTTGAGCCCCCGTTGATTTCCCGCCCACACGTTGCCGGGAATATACCTATAAAAAGTTGAGGCACTAGCGGGATACCAACCCACATGTATACCTCACGCAAACTATAATAGGCCGCACCACTCAACCGACTGAGCTACCGGGGACTTAGCTGAAGTATCTCAGTTTAACGGGTCTATCCTGGGATTGCATCATCGCTACACGTGGCACTATGTCATGTTGACCTCGATGAAACAGTTTAATGTGAATCGCCTATGATCTCTTTGGTGTTTGTAATAAAGGCTTGCTGGGCTTTTTGTATCCCCTGTTCTATGTACTTTTTTTTCTCGAATTGAACGAAACTCCTCCTCTGAGATCTTACTATCAGTGAGTGCCGTGGAAATACGCTCACTTACCGTGTTCAGCTTTGCTTCGGCCAGAACCCTGATCTCGTCATGTTTCAACGCCTTACGATGCAGTCTGCGTGATGCAAACTTAAGCACCAACCCTAACACCCCTGTCACCCCAGCTGCTATTTCAATACCTAGCACTATAGGTGCAGCCACGATGGTAGCTAACAACCCAACACCTGCCGCACCTAGTCCCATGCTGGTTGCCATAAGGGCAGTATCAGTCCCGTCCACGGCATTGAAAGCTCTATGGTACTTCTTATATAGTGCTTTCCGAGTGTCACGGTCTTGTTCTAGTTGGCGTTTTACATCACATAACTGTCTCAAGCGGAACCCATCTACGGTTTCCAGAGTCTTCACGACTTCCTCTACGACTGGGTATAGCCCCATCCCTATAATATATATTACAAAAGATATTTTAATTGGGTTTCAGTTAACAGTCAATCAACGAACTTGAGGCTTATAAGGTGTAAATCCTCATGTAGGAGAATAGGTGAGAATTTAATAGGTAACTCTGCATCCACACGATCCCCATAAGAGGGGCTTATTGAGGGGGCTATAGAACCCATTGAGGGGTCCAGTTGTATGATGATACGGTAACGTTGACCATTGTTCCGGGGGCTCCAGTGTACTGTCACCCGGGTTAAAAGTTGTTGTTCTATACTACTATAAGCTCTCAGGAGATAGACTTCTATGATGAGTGTGGAGCCTGGTATCATAGCCGGAACCCCTATGGTCCCGTAGCAGTCATACCTTAACTCACCCCCGTTGAATGCCATTAACATATTGGGTGACGGTCTTAGCATAATCCTTGTATTAGGCCCCGGAACGAAACACGAGGGCAAGGTACCGCTATTCTTAATTTCAGAGATAAAACTTTGTTCCTTAAATGAGATATAAGGTGAGGTGAGGGCTAAGTTGACTATCCATTTCGGTTCTTTAAAATCAGATAACGACACCCGCCTATACACGTTGTCTTTCAAGTGTAGGACGTACAAGGCGTCTTCCTCACCAGGCTGATCGAATCCCTCCGTGTCCCCTAGGTCGTTAAGCGTAGCGTTGGGGTGGTGCCTAATCATTGCTATAATACTATTACGGGATAATTTCCAACTGGTTTTCTGATAATAGTTCAGGGGCGCACTTCACCCCATGAAGTGTATGTTGTCAGGTAGGAAGATCTTGGTTAGTGATATCGTGTCTTCCACGATCACGGTGACTCCTACCAGACTGGTTTTGGAGTCGACACCCACCATACGTAAACGGTGCAAGCGTGATACTGGTGTCGTTTAAGCCACCCGAGTTTGATCCCCTCACGATTTAGACATCATCCCGCGATGGTTCCCTAGGTAGACTTGGATGACCAGAGTGGCGTTATCCGGTAGGCTCGTCAGGATGTTGACCACGCCAGCAAATTCAGACACCAACTGCAATGTCACGTCTTGCATTCCCGGTTTACTCGATAGCATGTGGGCTGCCATACTGGCGACTGGGCTGATGATTACGTAAGCCACGAGCAGTGTTCTGTTGTTCACGACTTTGTTTAGGTAGTTGTCTTTGTTCTCCGTGAACACGTAGGGGGAGTCAAGCTTAATATTGAGAAACCAGTCGCCTTTATCGGGTAACAACACCCACTTGTCATCTTCGGTGAAGACGAGAGTATATGGGGTGTTTCAGGTGACGATAGTGCTCTCAACATCTTCTAAGTCGAACAGTTTGCCCCCGAACGATGGGTATATTATCCATTTATCATCACCGGTGTGGACTAGGGTGTACCGAGTGTTGATGACCGCTCTTGAGGTATCTACCATATCACTTAGATTGCTAGTACCACCTATGGAGGGGACTTCAACGCGTTTGTAAATACTGTTTTTAAGCTGCAAGGCATACAATTTACCATCTACTCCGGGGTCGTCGAATCAGCGTGTGTCCCGAGGTCGGATATCCCCGCATTGACACATTTTTCACCTTCATTCCGGGGCCTTGTTAAGCTGGTCATTTTATGTGCAGCGTTATGCTGAGGTATCCTATATTCACGGGGATTATGATTTATATCTAACACCGATATTATCAGCTCAGGGATGTTGCCCGAGTTAACCTCTTATACTGCCGCGGTGAAAACTACTCGGTTCTACAGTCATTGTATTTCTCCGTTTTCACCCGATACGGCTCTCAGTATCGTGGAAGGGTGACCCCTTGAATGTTGTCCGTTGTGCTCACTTGGCGAGATGAATGCACAGCTCTCGGTGCGGTACTAGGTCGGGGTAACCGTGCCTGTGGCGGTAGTGCGTTGGTTTTATCTCGTCAGGCAACATACCTAGTGTCCTCGCAAATGGCCGGCTGAGCCTCAAGGGGTTTCTTCCGTTGTTGATTAACACCACTGTGCCGTTTGAGTCGTTCATCTTGAGTTCGGCTCCCAATGGTTTGAAGACCTCGTCGCTTAGTGAACACACGCTGTAGTAGCCGTCAGTTATCTGATTGCGGGCGCCACTAACGATCAGCTTATTGTTGCTGGCGTTGATGTTCGTCCAGGTAGGTAGGTGATATCGCAGAGTGTGACTTCGAGTTGACCCGACGTGTTATCGATTGCGTGCGTCAGCTGAACGGCCCCGCCGCTCGT